ACTTTTAGAATTCATGTGTTCTGTTCCATCAGATTCATCCAAAAGTGGGCTATCTTTAATAATAATATGTCTGAAACTTGGAATTACGGAGTTTCACCCTGCATTCCATTTATCAAGGAAAGATGTATTTTAAGGTGCATATCTATGCTATTTTAAAAGAACATTTTGGGTTATTCAAAACCTGTTGAGTTTAAGGAAGTATCAAAGTCAAGTATGGCTGGATTTTATAAGTTCTTGATTCACACAGATGAATAGAAACTTAAGCCAGTTTGATCTACTGCACAGGTGTCAAACTCGCTGTGTCACGTTGCTGTCACGTGACATTTCACAATATTTGCTCCATTCGTGGAGCTGGGGTAGACGTGGCCCATGGATGACACATCCAGTCTGTGGGCCACCAGTTTAACACCCCTTATCTAGTGATTAACGCACCAGGATGGAAACTAGGAGATAGCGTTCTAGTCCTGCCTTTGGCATGAAAGCCAGCTAGGCACTGGTGGGTTTCCATTTTTGTTTTACTACTGGTTCGCTTGTGCGTCCGGGTGACGCGTCTGGGTGAGTGGGCGGAGCCACCCGCCGCCACCACTACCGGTTCGCCCAATTTGGGCCAAACCAGGAGCAACTCACCTCTGCAGCTAGGTGACTTTGGGCCAGTAACTCTCTTTCTTTCTCTCAGCCCAACCCACTTTACAGGGATGTTGTGGGGAAAATAAGAGGAGTAAAGAGTATTAGGTATCTTCTCTGCCCTGAGTAATCCATAAAATAATAAAGGTGAGATTTTAAAAATCTGTACAAAAAACAGAAGCAGCAGTAGATTAAATGGCATTGCATTAAAAATAAATGGAATTCTGTGATCAACAGAAATTATGGAATTTCCTTTGGTAGGAACCATGTTATAATTAGTTGAAATTGCCTCTAACCACATCTTAGTTAACAGCATATGGATAGCACTCACAAGACCATGGTTTTCAACTCGCCATGCAGCTGTTCTCAGTATATAACATGTACTGTACTGTAAATGAAATGAGACAGCACCATCTATTGCATCTTATAAATTAGCTCGTGCAAGGCTTCATAGCAATCCAGCATTATACAGGCTGTCCAAGCCATGCTCCAAAGCGTCATCTTTTTTATCACAGCAGCCTTGGTATATTGGTAGTTAAACACTGGTGGAATAAGACAAATGCCTCCAAGGATGCTGAAGTCGTCCCCTCTGGTTGCATTTTCATTACCGCTGGATTTCTATTTTTATTCAGGCTTTCCTACGGAAATGTTTTCAGTGTTCAAATGATTCCTCCTGTTTTGTAAGATACGAAAGAATCTCATGTAAAAAACAGTTTAAATGGTAATTGAAACATGGCATCTGCTGGGTCTGGATCCCATCTTTTAATCATGAGTTTTCCTTTCAGAGATGTATATAATGTGAAACATTTCCAGAAAAAGCTAAAAATCTAGCAGGTTAATTGCCACGTGTACATCACTTAATGTACTTCTCTGTTTAAGATGTGAATTGCTGCTTGGTACACAATGTGGCTGCTCATTTGATAAAAAGAAACAAAAGTTGTCACGTTAAGATGGTTTTTCATTAGCCCATTAGCTTCAGAATCCAAATCAATAAAATGGCCTTTAATTTTAACAGCTTGTAATCTCTGGTCAAGTTATCAGAATTTATTTCCTGTCGTTTGTACGTCATCTCTGTGGAAAAGCCATTTTCAGGACAATGCAAAATAGATGCATTGCAAGACCCACCAAAACCAAACACAAGTCTGTAGGACAGAATAGAGGCAATCCTTGACTTACAACAGTTTATTTAGCGATCGTTCAAAGTTACGACGACTGAAAAAAGTGACGCATGACTATTTTTCACACTTACGACCTTTGTAGATTCCCATGATCATGTGATCAAAATTCAGATGCTTGGTTACTGTTCCATACGCATGACCATGGCCGTGCCCCACGGACATATGATGATCTTTTGCAACCTTCTGACAAGCCAAATCAATGGGGAAGCCAAATTCACAACCAAACTACAAATCTATCAACTGCAGTGGTTCACAACTGTGGTAAGAAAGGCTGTATAATGGAGCAAAATTCAATTAACAAATGTCTCACTTAACAACTGAAATTTGGTCGTAAGTCAAGGAATTTCTATTAAAGGCTAGTTTTTTATTTAGTCCTACGATGGAGTAGAGATTTTGCATGCACATAATTCCAAATTTATCTTCTGGCTTTTCTGAAACTGTGAAAATCAGTATTGGATTTACCGTAAGTTTAAGAAAGCCTCCAAAAGTCAACAGATTCAACTTTCAAAGAATTAGCTTTACAATGTGCTTTAATTTATTTTTGGGTGGATATTTTATTTGATTTATAAACTTTCTGAATCTATTAGGAATCAAAAGCACAGGTTTTTGTGTATGAATGCACATGGGTAAATAAATGGGGATATTCCCAAAATGGGAAATGTGATGTTCAAATAAAAATATATTGCATTCTGTAAATGTCAAATATTTTTTATTATAATACAGTTGACTTTTGACTACTTTCACCAAAGAAAGATATACACCAGGAGAGGTTGATATTAGTTTAAACCTACCTTGAATTTTCAAAGGCATATTTCCTTTCCTTTTGAGTTTTCTCGTTGATTGGGTACAACAGAAGTATGGATAAGCCTAAAAGGATGAGGATGGATGGAATTCCACCAACCAAGATTTTCAGCGTGATGACAACATGGGTGGACTGTGTGCACATCCCTGATTTGTAGCCTACAAATCTATAAAAAAATCATGCAACTGTTACTGTAATTCATTCAAATAATAATACACACCTAACCCTCATTCTGTGCCTCCACCTTCAATTTGAACATTGTTCCTGTTGTTTTCTAAGCTTTACTGGTTTTCTCCTATCGGCTTCTTTTATGTAAAGACCAATCTTTTTAACACTGGTAGCTGACCTTAAAACAATGCCTCTTATATTTATAAAGCAATCTGAGCAATTCATTCATTATGATCATAACAACAGTATCTTGATCTCCATTAACACTGGTCAGTTCCTTTAAACTAGCCCCTTAGTTCCTACCATATGTAGCTACAATGCTTGGCAAACTTGTTTTACTTAATGGATTAACTGGTTCCACGCTGTGTGCCAGGATAGCTTGCTTGTTTATTTTCTATGTTTCTCTGCAGCACTCTGCAGGCTTCAGCAGGGCTGGGGTAAGGCAAAAAAGCCTCAATTTTTCAGCCATTTTTTGCAAAAACAGTGTGATTTTTGCTTTGCCCCAGCCCTGCTGAAGCCTGCAGAGTGCNCTATTCTTCAGATTTTCTTCAATGAAGGCGTGGACAATGCGCACTGAGAAGTTCAGGAACAAAGTCAAGGAAGTCAAAACAAATATCCATAGTTCCGCAGAACCATATGACAATTGGCGGAGCAGACCCCAGGGTGGGGTTGGACTCTCCTTCGCAGCACCCAGAAAAGGACCCTTCAGCTAAGCCAATTGTCATTTTCCTGGGTGCTGCTCTGGAGAGTGCAAGCATGGGACATACCCAAGCTAAATGTCACTAGGGCGGGGAGCGGAAGCATCCAGGGTCTCTCCGCTGGTATGAATGTCCTGGAGAACCCACCTCCCAAATGCCCCCTCCGCAGAGGCGAATTTGCCCAGTCTGTAGTGTCGAACAAATGGAGACAAGGAAGTCCACATTGCAGCCTTGCAAATCTCCTCTATCGGTGCCTGGGTAACCCAGGCTGCCATGGTGGCGGTGCTTCTCGCAGAATGAGTGGTGATATGGCATGGCACCGGGATAGATTGAAGAATGTGGGCCTTAGCCAACAACTGATGGTCTGAGAAGAAACTTTGCGGCCCTGGGAGGCCGGTTGAAATGCAACAAAAAGTGATTCAGAGTGATGGAAGGCAGCCGTGCGTTTGATGTACTTACGTATCGCTCTACGAACATCAAACATATGCCACTTTTTCTCCTTGGGATGTTTGGGCTTTGGCAAAAATCCAGAAGTATGACCTCCTGGGCCCGGCGAAACCTAGAGTTGATTTTGGGTATAAATGCTGGATCCAAACGGAGGATCACTCTGTCAGGTTGAATCAAACACAAGTCCTCGCAAATTGACAGAGCTGCCAATTCAGAAATTCGCGGTGCAGACGTGATGGCAATCAAAAAGGCTGTCTTAAATGTCAGCTATTTGAGGCTGGCCGAATGGAGGGGCTCAAAGGGTGGGGCAATGAGAGCCCGAAACACTACATTGAGATCCCATGAGGGGTACCTGTGAACAACCAGAGGCCTCAGGTTGGTTGCACCCCGTAGGAAACTGCGGATGATGGGATGACGCCCAAGGCCGCCACCTGCCATATAAGAGTGTTAGGGGCTAGGCCCTGGTCAAGTCTGTCTTGTAAGAAGTCCAAGATCTGGGAAATCATAGCCGTAGTAGTCTCAGCCTCGTGCTCTCCACATTGTGTCGTATATTCTGGTTGTAGAAGGCCACCTGGTGCCTGAATGGTGTGAATGACCTTGGTGGATAGGTTACCCCTACTTAGGAGGTCCTTCTCAAGTGCCAGACAGCTAGTTGTAGCCACTGGGGCTCTGGATGTTGAAGCACACCCTGGTTGAGAGAGACCTCATGCCGGGGAATCCGCCAAGGAGGGTTGATGGAGAGACCCACCAGGTCGGCGAACCAGGTCCTTCTGAGCCAGTAGGGAGCCACAAGCAGAATTTCCACCTCCTCTAACACAATTTTCCGAATCACCCTAGGAAGAAGAGGCAACGGGGGGAAGGCGTACATCAGACCCCGTGGCCAAAGAGAGTGGAGAGCGTTGACCCTCTTGGCTTGCAGGGTGTGGAACCTGGAGAAGAACCTGGGGAGGTGTGTGTTCTCTGGGGGGGGGGAGCGAATAGGTCGACCAGAGGACGGTCGAACCTCTGAGACAACTTGTGGAACTGGTCTGGGTGCAGGCACCACCTGGAGTGATCGACCGTGGCCCTGCTCAGACAGTCCACCTGGATGTTGTGGACCCCAGAGATGTGCTCCGCTTGGATCGAGCACAGGTGTTTTTCTGCCCACCTTCCCACGCGCTCTGATTCCTCAATCAGGGACCTGGAGCAGGTGCCCCCTTGGTGGTTTATGTGCGCCTTTGTGGCCACATTGCGCCCGAGCAAACTCAGGACACCGGAGAGGCTGAAATTGGTGAGAACCAGGGAATTAAACTCAAGGGAGACTCACCAAGCCTGCTCCAATAATCAGGAAGTAGAATAGAATCTTTTTGAAGTAAATAGACAATTAGAGNCGGGACTTTTTTAAAACGCGGAGGGACACGGGACAAATTGTTATAAAGCATGATTGTCACGCTGAAATCGGGACGTCTGGTCACCTTAGGGAAGGACCCATTTTTGCAAAAATGCAGGGGGCGGAGCTTTGGGAGGCCAAAAATGACTGTATTTGGTGTATAAGATGCACCAACATTTCCACGCTCTTTTAGAGGGGAAAAAGGTGCGTCTTATACTCTGAAAAATACAGTGATTGCTAAAGTACAATTCCTAACATTCCTAGGACACCAGGACAATAGTAAAGAATGCCAGAGTTGTAATTTATAAATACATGGAGTGCCACAGATTGCTTATCTCTGTGCCTCTTTATTGAATGGAACCAATGCAAGATCCGAAACAAAACAAAACTTAAAACACTCACTGTAGACTGAAGGAAGAAATTCCCATTCCGATACCAGTTGACATCTTTGTGAAAAAGATGAACGACGAATAGAAGATAGTTTCATGCCCTGGTAAGTGAATGTTCTGCATTCGAAAATGGTCAACTACATCAGGCAGCATGGACCTTTAATCAACAATTATCAGATTAAAAAGATGCACATCACAGCTAGGTCTATAGGAATACTATAGAAAGAGTAGCAACTATCTGTGTAATTGCCATTTAAACTTCTGCTAGTTTTTATTCTAACACTAAATCCCAGTTATGCAGACCTTTCTTCTTTTTCTATCGTTCCAGTCCTTGCAAATAAAAATAATGTGCAAAAACCAAAACCAGTGATCATGTGACATACACACCGTTTAAGAATATGCAAATTGTGCACAATCACTAAAGGACATCTTAAAATAAGCACCAGGTTTTTCAAAAATAAATATGACTTTAAAAATCATGTGATTCAAAACTTACTGAGTGGAATGTAATTGATCTAAAATTAAATGCATTTTTTGATAATAAAGCTTTTATATTTTCATATTGCTTTAAAATAATATTTTTATTAAAATACTTTAAATAATATTTTATACATAGCTAATATGGAGGGTTTCATATGCTTTATTGCCTAATCCTATATTCCCCCCCCCCCACTTTTGGATATTTGAAACTGCTGTTAAAAATCACTAGGATTTCAATCATTAGGTTTAGACATCTCTTCATTTATCTTAAGATTCTCAACAAGATGTTTGAAAGATCTGATCTCTGAGGACACAATCTGAGGCCTCAAGATTGGGATTTTCCATAACCCCAAGAGCTCCCAGCCCTAAAGACGCTGCTATATATCATTGCACAGAATCAATTCCATCAGTATTAATTTTTAATTAAACTAAATGAAGCATCTTCCCGAGGCAGACCACAGAGTATCATAGAAAGGTTAAAGTGTTGCTTTTAGTCAAATGTAGCAGATATTCCCTCCATACCCTACCCCTTATGCTCCCCTCTCTGCAAGAGACTCTTACCATGGCAGGAGGAAAGACGCTGCAATGCTAAGTCCAGATACAAAAGCCATAAAGTAGGCAAGAAAGATATTAGGGATAGTCACCAACATGATTACAGAAGGAATCATCAACTAGAATGAATGAATATAAGGAGAAAACTAAATCATTTCACCCTAAATTGATTGTCTAAGAAAGTATAATGTCTCAAACGGACGTCTCATAATGTCTCAAATGATATAAACAGGATTAAGATTACTATACAGACATGACAATGACAATTATTATAGATTAGCAGTGTAGGAAGTCACCACCAACTTGTCTAGATTAATATCATTGGCAATGATTGGTCACCACCGTCCAGACCTTCCGCGCAGCCCTTAAGATCTGGCTATCCCGTCAGGCCTGGGGATAAGATTTTCACCCGCCCCACCCGAATGCTGAATGAATGTTGTGTTTTATTGTTTTATTTTATTCACATATTATTTCATGTTTTGTCTTGCACTCCTTTCCCACGAATTGTAAGCCGCCCTGAGTCCCTTCAGGGAAAAGGGCGGCCTATAAATGACAATAAAATCTAAATCTAAATCTAAATTGGTGTCAATGTGCTAGAATTTCAGACCTGGGACAAAACCTTAAATCTTCCGTATGCAAAGCATGTGCTTCGAAGTGCTACAGTGGTGAATGGTCTTTTTGCTGCAGAAATCACCCTTTTAATTTTAAGTCTGGTTTTCCTTCTTCTTTGGGGGTCATAGAGCACTGTTTTTAAAAAATGTATATCAAGAATACGTGTTACTGGCCACATGCTCTGCAACAGTGCCTTTCAAACTTGGTAACTTTAAGACTGTATGGACTTCAACTCCCAGAATTCCCCAGGCAGCTGATTGGAGAATTCTGAGAAATGAACATCACACATCTTAAAGCTGTCAAGTTTGAAAAATAGGGAGCATTTGGCTGTACTGTTTATCCTTCTATTTCAGAACCACTATAAATAGAAAATGTGTAGGACAAGAGGTGTCATTCCTAGAGACAGCGTCCCTTTAGCTTTCAGCTACATAATCTGGAGTCTGTTGGTCTGAACAGAATATAAACCATAACAGGAAGATATTCTTAATCTACAGAACAAGAACCAGGAGACTTAGCTACGATTAAGTCATCAAAGGGAGATCACAGATTTCAAAAAAAGGGTTTACAAATAGCTTAAATAGCCTAGATAGAAAAAGCTATTGATCAAATGATTACATTCCAAGTTCTTTGATTATTAGGACTATGCAGTGCCTTAAATTCATTTTTAAAAGGGTGTTTCAAAGTGCTTAGGAGCACAAGCCCAACGTTTCTAGAACTATTTAAAGCTGCCACACCTTTACCTGGCATATCTTAGCTGCCCTCTGCTGTTGCCACATGATCATGGAAAAAGGCATGGCTGCCTTAAAGAGTTACAGACAGGTGCTCCATTCTTGCCTCTATATGCTCTGAAGCACCTTTCTGAAATCTGAAATGCTGTGCAGCCATAACTATTAGCAGCCTACTTACCGATATTCCACATGCTGCTTTCTTTTTGCCAAAATGCTTCAGAAATCTTTGCCAGAATGGAACGCTCACTGTAGCTGACACCTATACATTACAAAAGGGAAAAAAAAATGTCAGAAAAGGGGAAAAAAATGTTTATGGCTTCCAAGAGAATTTAGTGTGCAATTTGAAGATTGCAGTACCATATAAATATCCATAGCTACATTTCATAACAAGGGGGAAGAAGCTTGGACTCTGATGGGGTCAGAAGAGATAACCATGAGTTTACGAAGGTGACCAGAGTGACAGAAACGAATATTTGTCCTTTTATTATATCGTGCAAAGGTTAGGTATAAATGGAGAAAGTCATGAAAAATCGATTTTCATATAGGTATGGACCACTGAAATATGATAAGAAGAGACACACAAACGTTTAGTGTTGTCTGCACACTTACCAAGATAATCAGCACTAAATTCTGAAAGTGACTGCGAAGATCAGCTGCGTAAGTACAAAAGAGAACGAAATTTCCTTGTTCAATCTAGAACAAGAGAAAAGAAAAAAGTTCTACTAGTTGAGTGGCATATACATTTAATAAATATCATTAAAAGAAAACAGAACTATGCCATGAGGGTAGACATGATTCAAATGTGAAGGAGGATGGATAAATATAGTGATACAATTCATTTACAATTCATATATCCGAGGTGGGTAAAATGAGGACCCAGATTGTTGGGGGCAATATGCTGACTGTAAAACTCTTAGAGAGGGCTGTAAAGCACTGTGAAGCAGTATATAAGTCTAATTGCTATTTCTATTTCTTGATATGATTACATAGTAATTGGCTTTTTCATCATTTAAAAATGACTATATATCATTCTTATAAATGATCAATATGATATGCTTTTATATAAAATCATATTAAAAAATATCTGCTTTTTGTGCCATAAGTTGTATCTTTTCTTTCGATATGAATCCAGGAAGGAGGTTAGCAAACTTGTAACTGTGACACCACTGGATCACGCCCACTGACTTTCAACTTAAAAATCTATACATTTTTGATAAATAATAAAAATGCCATGATAGCCAAAATCAGTAAAATCTCTGAATGCCCCCCCCCCCAAGATATTTTGCTGATTTTTAGAGAAAATAGGATTGCTCTTTAGGGAAAATAAGATCACATACAGTATATAGGATCAAGTTCTTATGATGCAGCTGTATAGATTCTTCAATGAAATTTATGACAAACGAAGTTGACGCAGGCGCTGGATAGGTAAGAATTACCTGAACTGCTGTTAAAATCAGTAGAAATGCTGCTGTAAATATCAAATATGGTTGATGCTTCATGGCATGCTTTTGTCCTTTAAAGAAAGGAACTTTTTTGTCTGGCATTAAGGTGTATGGATCTATAATGGGTGGAATATATACAATGTTGTTTATATGAGATTGTAGATTAAATGAAGAAAATAGACACCTGGAAATATTAATAAGCTTTAAATATGCTCACCAAATTTTTCTTTCACTCCAAAGAATAGGGAAAGAATGCCAACAAGGTAAATGCCTCCTATCAGCCCAGCTGCAATCATGTAGACTTTTTTCTTTAAAGACAGAAGATTTCAATCAAATGACAAAAGCAAGAAATAAACAATAAAACAAACAAACAGTAGCCTAAAACAAAATAGAGCTTAATGATAAGCAATTCTATAAGTAAAGTGATTAGTTTGTTGGTAGATGGCACAAATGAAGAACTATCAGTCTTGTCTGTGTTCATGGGAATTCCTCTTCAGCTGTCTGCATGATCTTATTCTTAGGGCAGTACCTCCCTTTGTCCGTGGCACGACAAAACCGCGCTGGTCAAAATCGCGGTGATAAAATCGCGGCGATAAAGCCGCGACGTCATCACCGCGCGTCATCACCGCCGCGACAACAGCGCGGCAACAGAAGGGCGCTTTAAAACGGCACCGATTTCAATTAAGGTAAGGGTTAGGATTAGGTTTAGGGGTTTGTTTTAGGTTTAGGGGTTTGTTTTAGGTTTAGGGG